GCTACACTCTCCCCCCACCAAAGAATCTTTGGTCCTCCAAAGATAAAATGTTAGCACACAGATTTTAACTGAACAATACATAACATTACAGTAAAGCAGACTACAGTTTCACAAGTTTACCCTGTCTGGGGGTGGGAGCAGGCTTATTTTGTGACATGAGGTATATCAGCTGATTGACATTGGCTGTAACAGTGATATCTAGAGCAGAAATGTCCTACCTAACCACTGGCCATTGGGATGAAGCTTAAAGTCTCTCAATGTTGGGGCCCTTTAATTAATGGAAGAGCTCTCGCTCTATGCGGTCTCAACCCAAAATGTCTCCTTCCCTATGTGTGTCTTTCTTAGCCCCCTTCCTCTTCTCCTGCTTCCTCAACAGACAATCATAAGTCCAGCTACAGCAGTGCTGCTATGGGTGAATCCTACTCAGCTATAGCAACAGCCAATCAGAGCACCGTCCTGTTTTTTTTTTCTGTCTGTCCCTCACAAAGAGAGAAAAGAGAAAAAAAAATGCCTCGCAGCTGCTGTTTAAGATTTAAAGCACCCAGCACTCTGCTACACTCTCCCCCCACCAAATAATCTTTGGTCCTCCAAAGATAAAATGTTAGCACACGGACTTTTAACTGAACAGTGCATAAGATTACAGTAAAGCAGACTACAGTTTCACAAGTTTACCCTGTCTGGTGGGTTGAGCAGATTCATTTTGTGACACCTTCGATCACAACATTCAGGCAGGGGAGCTTTTCACCAATCTCCTTTCACATAAGACTGAGAGAAAAAAAAAATGCCTTGAAGCTGCTGGTTAAGATTTCAAGCACCCAGCACTCTGCTACATTGGGAGTTTGGGATGGACAAGGCGCTGATGTGTTGGTCAGTAAAGCTTTATGGTCGTATGATTTGGGACTGCTGTTTTGTAGGTGGTCCCAGTATGATAGCCCCTCTTCTGTACTGTAGTAAGGGAAATCTGCCCAGCACTGACTTGCAAGCACTTTTGGAGGTGCTCCAATGGACTTGGGGGCAGTGCTTGCAGTATTCCAGATAAAATATTTCTGTTGATCTGGAGTCCCATTTGGATTGGTCTGGGTAGGTGACAGGACACCAAACTTCACTGCCATAAAGAAAGATTGGGGTGATGACGCTATCAAAGATTTTAAGCCGGACTCTTACTTTCTTTCTCCCTGTCACAAGTTAGCCTGCAGCCTCTTGTGTGTTTATTCTTACCTCCTTTCTGCTCTTGATTCCTTCACATGTATGTTTGTCTGTGCTCTTCTATGGGCGTCGTCTGCTATCTTCTGGGTTTTATTTCCTTCCCTTCCATCACTTCCTGTCCCGCCTCCTTGTCTGCTGTCTATATAAGATGTGCTCAGACTAGGCCACATTGCCTGAGCAACTTCGTGTTGTTGGAGCTCCCGTGTGTTTCCTCTGTGAATCCTGTGTTGTCTATCTGTGTACTGACCTCGGCTTCGTTCCTGACCCTGCTTGTTTTCTGCCTGCCCTGACCTCAGCTTGCCCATTGGATTCCCTGTGTCTTCTCCCGTTGTACCCTGCTCCCGCTAGCGGTCTCCTCCACCTCAGCTGGGTGTACCCAGGGGCCGCGACCTGGTCACAGGCTGGGGATTAGACTCTGCTCCATGGGGAACCCCAAGCTGTGGATCTATAGAGCTCACTACCATAGGCGTCACACTCCCCTCTTTCTTCCTCTGCCCTTCTCTCTCTCTTTTCTCTGCCCTCCCGTATTCCAACTGTATTTTCCTTAAAGCAGAAATAAACCCATTTTTTTAACTGTTTCCCAACTGTCAAACCATCAAACGGCTGGTGTCATAACTGACCAAAAAATGAATCCACCATCAAAAAAAACCCCAAACAGGTTGCCTACATCCCAAAACACTATGGTAAGTAGGGGACCCCCAGAGAGATTGGAAATGTAGGACTTTAAGGGCAACTCAAAAGTGCTGAGGTAAAATAGCAACATTTTCTTTACAATGGCTAAAAAGCACAATATTGTCATTGTCCCAAGACAACGCATAATATATTGAGTATTCCATGGCTGCAACAATAGAAACATCAAAAATGGTCAACGAGCCCAAGATGAAATATCCTCCTTTTGGAGAGTCACCAACGGAGAATCCAACGTGATTCAGAGTAATCTCCATCATCAGGGGTAAGATGAGGAGGAAGAAGGTATTCTATAACACGAATATATTGTGGTAATCACAATCAGAAAAAATACTAGCTCAGCCGGATAGATAAAATAAAGACACAAATGACAAAAACATCCATGATACATACATGTAGAACAACAGCAGCCATATCCATGTTAAAAAACATCTGTCATCACCTGCAGGCAACCCGCTTGTGATTACCACAATATATTCATGTTATAGAACATACCATCTTCCTCCCACAACTTACCCCTGATGAAAGAGATTACTCTGACCCACGTGGAAGAAAAATATATTTTAAATATATTTTAAAAATATTCTTCCAAATATATTAACATATATTTGAAATACTACATTTTTGGCCATATTCCATTGATTTAAAAAAAAATAAAAAAATATATATATATATATATATACAGTGGGGATCGAAAGTTTGGGCACCCCAGCTAAAAATGTGTATTAATGTGCATAAAGAAGACACTGGCAGGTCTCAGCTTGGCAAAGGGGCAGTGCATGCTATAAATTCTGCAGGGTGCCCAAACTTTTGCAGACGCCATTTTTTATAGTTTTCTGTTATTTTGAAAGTGTAAATGATGGAAATAAAATCTAACTTTTGTTGACAGATATTATAAGAATGTCTAATCTGTAATTTGATGCCTTTTTGGAGATTTTTCCATCTTTCCTTGGCTTCTTTATGCACATTAATACACATTTTTAGCTGGGGTGCCCAAACTTTCGATCCCCACTGTATATATACACTGTATGTTGAAATGTGTTTTTTATATATTAAAACTATATTGTACGAAAAATATTTTTAAAAAAACCTACATTTTCAAATATATGTCTTTGAAAATATATTTAATCTACATTTTTTTTTTGGAATACATGTACAAATATATGTAAAATACATATTAAAATGACTTTATATGTTTAAAACCCCCCCCCCCCCCCCCCCGAAGAATATATAAAAAAAATATATATTTTAAATATGTCTGAAAAATCTTCTTCCCAAATATATTGACATATATTTGAATTACTGCAATTTTGTACGTATTCAATATATTTAAAAAATTATATATACATATATATATATATATACACATTGTATGTTGAAATGCGTTAATTTATATATTAAATAATGTTTGAAAAATAATTTTAAAAATACATTTTCAAATATGTCTTTGAAAACCTAAAGAATATATTTAAAAAAAATATATTTTAAATATATTTTAAAAATATTGTTCCCAAATATATTGACATGTATTTGAAATACTACAATTTTGGGCATATTCAATATATTAAAAAAAAAATATATATATATACTGTATGTTGTAAGGCTTCCCAGTTGGTTGTTTTGCCCTGCACGCTCCCAGCACATATGTTGGTGTCTTCTCTTGGCTTGTTCTCGACTATGCTTCTGCATGATCCCAACCTGCGACTGCTCATTACCAACCTTGACTTGTTCTCGACTACACTTTTGCCTCATCCTAACCTGCGACTGCTCATTACCGACCTTGGCTTGTTCTCGACTACGCTTCTGCCTGATCCCAACCTGCGACTGCTCATTACTGACCTTGACTTGTTCTCGACTATGCTTCTGCCTGATCCCAACCTGCGACTGCTCATTACTGACCTTGGCTTGTTCTTGACTACACTTCTGCCTGATCTCAACCTGCGACTGCTCATTACCGACCTTGGCTTGTTCTTGACTACGCTTCTGCCTGATCCCAACCTGCGACTGCTCATTACCGACCTTGGCTTGTTCTCGACTACGCTTCTGCCTCATCCCAACCTGCAACTGCTCATTACCGACCTTGGCTTGTTCTCGACTATGCTTCTGCCTGATCCCAACCTGCGACTGCTCATTACCGACCTTGGCTTGTTCTTGACTACACTTCTGCCTGATCTCAACCTGCGACTGCTCATTACCGACCTTGGCTTGTTCTTGACTACGCTTCTGCCTGATCCCAACCTTGTTCTCGACTACGCTTCTGCCTCATCCCAACCTGCAACTGCTCATTACCGACCTTGGCTTGTTCTCGACTATGCTTCTGCCTGATCCCAACCTGCGACTGCTCATTACCGACCTTGGCTTGTTCTTAACTATGCTTCTGCCTGATCCCAACCTACGACTGTTCATTACTGACCTTGGCTTGTTCTCGACTACGCTTCTGCATGATCCCAGCCTGCGACTGCTCATTACCGACCTTAGCTTGTTCTCGACTACACTTCTGCCTGATCCCAACCTGTGACTGCTCATTAGCAACCTTGGCTTGTTCTGGACTACGCTTCTGCCTGATCCCAACCTTGTTCTCGAATACACTTCTGCCTCATCCCAACCTGCGACTGCTCATTACTGACCTTGGCTTGTTCTTGATTATGCTTCTGCCTGATCCCAACCTGCAACTGCTCATTACCGACCTTGGCTTGTTCTCGACTACACTTCTGCCTCATCCTAACCTGCGACTGCTCATTACCGACCTTGGCTTGTTCTCGACTACGCTTCTGCCTGATCCCAACCTTGTTCTCGACTACGCTTCTGCCTCATCCCAACCTGTGACTGCTCATTACCGACCTTGGCTTGTTCTTGACTACACTTCTGTCTGATTCCAACCTGCAACTGCTCATTACCGACCTTGGCTTGTTCTCGACTACTCTTCTGTTCGATCCCAACCTGTGACTGCTCATTACTGACCTTGGCTTGTTCTCGACTACGCTTCTGCCTGATCCCAAACCTGCGACTGCTCATTACCGACCTTGGCTTGTTCTCGACTATGCTTCTGCATGATCCCAACCTGCAACTGCTCATTACTGACCTTGGCTTGTTCTCGAATACGCTTCCGCCTGATCCCAACCTGCGACTGCTCATTACCGACTTTGGCTTGTTCTCGACTACGCTTCTGCCTGATCCCAACCTGCGACTGCTCATTACCGACCTTGGCTTGTTCTCGATTACACTTCTGCCTCATCCCAACCTGCTACTGCTCATTACCGACCTTGACTTGTTCTCGACTACACTTCTGCCTGATCCCAACCTGCGACTGCTCATTACCGACCTTGACTTGTTCTCGACTACACTTCTGCCTGATCCCAACCTACGACTGCTCATTACCGACTTTGGCTTTTTTACTGACCATGCTTTCGTTTGATCCTTACCTGCTTAATACGCTACTGGACCTCTGCTTGCTCACCTCCTGGTGAGGTGATCCTGTGGACCATGACCTGGTGCTAACATGCAGCAAAACCCATCTCCACCATCAGGAGCTCTGGTGAACACCGGTTGGTACTTAGACTCCGCACCTCAGGTGAGTCCGCTCCTCCACCACTGTGACCTGCCTGTGTACCTATCCTGCTGGTTTCAGGTGAGCCTTTCCACTGCTATAGCAACTGGTCTTCGAGCCGGATCCCTGACCGTGACAGACTGCTTTAGACTTTTCCTCATGATATTGGATTTATGGCTTCAGTATTAAATTAGTTGACTGGTTCCTTTTCTATTATTTGTGAAATTTACCTCCTTTCTTTGACTTTTAATAAGCACAAACTAAGAATAAAACCACTAATTTCCTTTGCTATGGAATAGTCCGACTTCTGTCATTTCTGATCCGTATTTTAACTCCAATAATAAGAAAGCGTTAAAACCTGCAAAGCCTTTTTTATGTTTTCCCGAAAGGACGAGTTAAGAAAACTTCACATTAAGGCATTGCGGTATTTATTTATTTATTTTTCTTTGTTCTGATAAAAAAAAAAAGAAAGGAAGCCGGCGGTAACTGGAGGATAAATGAGACATCTATTACTTTTACACTTCCTAATAGAACATGGAAATTGGCAATTTTTTGCAGCGTGGATCTTATTCATCTTCTCTTACTTTCTATATGCAAATTTGTAGCGTACAGTAATAATGTCACGCTGACTTTTACCTGGTGCGGCTGGAGGGGGGGGGGGGGGGGGCGATGTAGATGTCACAGTAACTGAAAATGTCATCCGCGATTATGCTGAAAGTTTTCGCCGTGCAGAACGCACGCTGTACAACGCTGTTTTCTTGGCTCTAACCCGTGTCCTGCTCATTAGGATTGTTTATCAAGGTGGAAGATAAAGGAAGCTGAAATGTTAAGTCTGTCCTCCCCTATTGTCCTCACAACCCCGATTCCCATAGACAGAAACTACACCAGGGAGGTACATATGGTGTGACGGGAGCCTCTGTGGGTGGGGGGCCCATGGAACACAGCTCACTTTGGGTGGGGGGGGGCCCATGGAACACAGCTCACTTTGGAGAGGTGGGGACACCCCTGTCTCAGCTCCCCATATCCCTCTTATATGTAAGTCACCCTGTGCCTGTTAGGGGTACAGGGTGACCTGTCCTAATTTTGGGTTGGGGGGTTGTGGATTGTTTAACCACCTCCCGTCCGGCCATTGTATATAAACGGCCGGACGGTGGCAGTGCAGGGTTGGGTGGACGTTTATAAATGGCCTTCCCGCCCCCCCTGCTTGTGCGCTCTCCCTGGGAGGGCGCAGCACCGCGATCCAGTGCCCGCTGTGTCCTCCAGACACAGTGGAACACCGATTGTCGGACAGAACCTCTATGCGAGGTCCCGATCTCCTAGATTGTAAGCTCGAAAGAGCAGGTCCATCAAACCCCTCGTGTATTGTTTTGTTACTGTCCTGTCTCATGTTCTGTCCCCCCCTATAATGTACAGCGCTGAGCAAACCTTTTGGCGCTATATAAATACTGTATAATAATAATGTGATCACTGATTGGCCAATCAGTGATCACATGCAGAGTAGTAAGCAAGGATGTCACTTCTGACATCATTGCTTACTACGTGTGAAATCTGTGAATGATCACAGAGGTCACATGGTACAGGGCCATTCACAACAGCCTTGTACCATGTGACAAGCTGTGACCAATCACAGCTCACACAGTATTTCTCAATGGCTGCAGGAATGCAGCCAGAGAGGAGAAATGATTGCTTTTACATCCTACAGTATATGGGTGTAAAAGCAATCAGTATAAAAAAAAAATCTTCATCACCCCCCACAAGTAGTACAGTGTCACCATGGTGACACTGTACTGCTAGGGTGACGGTATGTTAAAAAAAAAACATAAATAATAATATAAAAATATAAAAAAAAAGTTTAAAAATTATAATATTTGGTTATAAACTAATTCAGGTTATTTATTTATTTTTTACTAAAAAGATAACGGAATACATTTTGGCCAAGATTTATGATGAAATATTATTTATTTGCAAAATTTTATACGAAAAACACTTTTTTTTCAAAATTTTTGGACTTTTTCATTTACATAGCAAAAAAAAATAAAAATCCCAGCGGTGAATAAATACCCAAAATAAAGCTTTAAAAAAAATTAAAAAATATATAGGTACAGTGTTGCATGACCACGCAATTGTCATTCACAGTGTGATAGCGCTGAAAGCTGGAAATTGGCCTGGGGGGGAAGGGGGGCGGGGAAGTGTCCGGGACTGGAAGGGGGGGAAAGTGTCCAGACTGAAAGGGTCCGTGTCCGGGACTGGAAGGGGGGGAAAGTGTCCAGACTGGAAGGGGGTGAAAGTGTCCGGACTGGAAGGGGGGGAAAGTGTCCGGACTGGAAGGGGGGGAAAGCGTCCGGACTGGAAGGGGGGGAAAGTGTCCGGACTGGAAGGGGGGGAAAGCGTCCGGACTAGGGGGGGAAAGTGTCCGGACTGGAAGGGGGGGAAAGCGTCCGGACTGGAAGGGGGTGAAAGTGTCCGGACTGGAAGGGGGGGAAAGCGTCCGGACTGGAAGGGGGGGGGAAGCATCCGGACTGGAAGGGGGGGAAAGTGTCCGGACTGGAAGGGGGGGAAGCGTCCGGACTGGAAGGGGGGGAAAGTGTCCGGACAGGAAGGGGGGGGGGAAGCGTCCGGACTGGAAGGGGGGGAAAGTGTCCGGACAGGAAGGGGAGGGAAAGTGTCCGGACTGGAAGGGGGGGAAAGTGTCCGGACAGGAAGGGGGGGGGAAAGTGTCCGGACTGGAAGGGGGGGAAAGTGTCCGGACAGGAAGGGGGGAAAGTGTCCGGGACTGGAAGGGGGGGAAAGTGTCCGGACTGGAAGGGGGGGAAAGTGTCCGGACAGGAAGGGGGGGAAGTGTCTGGACTGGAAGGGGGGAAAGTGTCCGGACTGGAAGGGGGGGAAAGTGTCTGGACTGGAAGGGGGTGAAAGTGTCCGACTGGAAGAGGGTGAAAGTGTCCGGACTGGAAGGGGGTGAAAGTGTCTGGACTGGAAGGGGATGAAAGTGTCCGGACTGGAAGGGGGTGAAAGTGTCCGGACTGGAAGGGGGTGAAAGTGTCCGGACTTGAAGTGGTTAATGCCATGTGGTTGCATCCCATTGTTCTATTGTGTGTTTTCCTTGGGAGCAAACTATTATGGGATGTATGTGTGTATTGGCTTGGTGGGGGGTGTCTCCAGCAGCCCTCCCTCCTTATGGGACTGTCTTCTGGTGTGAACTTTGAATATCTGTGTGTCTCTTGTTACTAGATGTAGATTGCCCCGCCCTGTGTCATTATGCAGGGAGGGGGGATTGCCCCGCCCTGTGTCATTATGCAGGGAGGGGGGATTGGCCCTGGGTCATTATGCTCTGCCCCTGAGTGTATAAAAAGCCAGTTGGAGTTTCAAATAAAGAGTTCCATGTTCAGACAGATTGGTGTCATCTGGTCCTGTATGGTCAGCGGTGGTGTCTGTGGTCGGTATTCGGACGGGGAAGCGGTAGTCTACCAGAAGTACCCAAGTGCAGTCTGGGTCGGTTCCGTTACATTGGTAACTATGTATATACCGTATTGTGAGAGAAGTACGGGGAGATGAGTCCAATGGAGGTTTAGGCTCCATGTACACTGTGGCTGATAAACGTACGTTTAGGATCTTTTCTGCATTTTTATCAGCAGCCCCTGAACTCTCCCTAATGTTCTCCTATGTGTCCGTGTACACTTCGTCCTTTACAGTCGTTTACAGGAAGTTACGTTTACAGTCGTTTTTTTTGAACGCACCAAACTTGCGTTCAGGAGTAGATTTTATCATCACTTCAAACACCAAACGCTTGTAAATGTGCGTGTAAACGCGACTAACCGCATTTATAAATGTTTCCGTTTGGAATTTTTTTTTAACCCTTCCATTTCCAGATGCTGTCCAGAGCCTTTTTTCTATTTCAATATTTTCATTAACCTCCCCAGCGGTCTGATGATGTCAGTATTTCTGTGCTCAAAGCGGTACATTTGTTTGCATGGAAATATGTATTTTTTTATTGTCGGCTGTAATTTTTAGGAATAACTCCCTGAAATCTGTCCGGACAAGAGTCTAGTAAACATCCCGGGGAGGATAAAACTGAAACACAAATCATAAATTATAATATAATAAATAATCATAAGAATAATAATATAATAATAATAAATGTAATTCAATAATATAATCAAACCAAAAACACTGAAATGTGAAATAGAGCGCCAAGTTGGCCCATCGCTGAGCTCAGTCGCAGAATCGTTTTCAGTGTCTGATGAGGAATTTCCCCCACCAATCATTATCACTCAATTCTGCAAGTGGTTCTGATTTACTATCGCTGTTCTCTAGCCGGTCTAAAACCGCGTCTGACCTAAAGGGACGCTTTTTGGACGCCATGGACGTTTCTCAGTTTCCAGGCAGAAAGGGCGGTAAAAATGCAGGCAGGGCGCCGGACAAAGCACTCGGGACACAATGTATGTGAAATGGTTTGATACAGGAATGTTATATGATGTGATTTTACTGTATTTAGTGAATGTCACTTTTTCACATTTTAAAATTTCCTGACAGTTCCGTCCCCCGTACGTCCCGACGTCGCAGGGAATGGGACCTGGAAGATGGATGCCGGCATCGGCCGGAGGACATTACAGGGGACACTGCAGGGGGGACATCGCGGGAGCGGAGGACAAGGTAAGTGAAGAAGAGTTCCCGGAGCAACACTGCAGAGTATTCCCGAGTGTAGCTCGGGGGGGGGGGGGGGGGCGGTTACTGCTTGTGGTGCTGAAACTTTACCCCGAGCTACACTAGGGAATACCTCTGGGGGGGTTAATAATACAACAAGCTCATGACACGCCCACGCAGGGGCGGAGCAGAACAATAGCATACATAAACAGATACAAGTCAGCAGGATGTATTAGCCAAATAACGGAACCAATGACACCAAGGAGGGACGGCAAAAAGCCGAACCAAATAGCAGCAGCAGCAGCAATCCATCATATTATCCGGGAAAAAAACTGATAGAAAAAAGAAAATATAAAAACATAGAAAGAAATAAAGAAGAAAGAAAGAAAGATTCAGAGAGAAAACATGGATTAAAAAGAAGACCAGAAGAGTCACGGATCCAGGGCCAGCACAGGCAACGACTATAAGAGGCCATAACTAGTAGGAGGCAGGGATGGCAGGGAATAATGGACCCAGGGAGGAGCCGCAACGACGTGACGTCA